TTGTTGTCGAGGACGGGTGGTGGCGGGGGAAGACTTCACTTATTCATTTTAATTGGTGGAACTTGGCAGTGGGAATTGAGGGGAAAAAGGACAGGGTGCGCATTTGACTATGTTACATCTTCGGTTTCTTTAATCTAAGACTGAGACCCCCAAATGTATACTGCACACAATCCAGGATCCTAGATTGTTGTTGGAACAGACTAGGACAGGGATTCTTATGTGTGTACTCAGCACGTAAGGAATAGAGAGAGACATTACATAAGAATCGCATTCTGTGGAACAAAGATAGTCGTCTCAACATATGCCGAATTGAAAGATGAGAATCTCAATGCTGTTATAGTGCCTACTGTTGCACTACTTACTACCTTTAACTTTACTCGTATTAACCTTCCACAAATCCATAACCTCAAAATTTTTGTGGCAGTCATGATTGCAGTCATGACAGGAGTTATCGGCCGCCATTTAAAACATCGAATTTGAAATACGATTAGTTATCACATCGTGATTAGATTTAGAACTCATACCATCTGAATTGAACGTTTTGTGGTGGTGCTCATAACTGATAACCTTATTATTTTATGTTTATTTTGAATCCATTTTTACACTGGATGTATGCATTTTTCACTGACATGGAGGACTTTGAAGTGATACAATATGAAATATATTGTAGTTGGTAATGAAGTGTTGCACCATCCATTATTGCTGACTGAAAAGGGAAACGCAATTATGCTAAAAACTTTAGACTTCTCAAAATATAAACATAAACATAAATTTATCAGCTGTGTTTACTTGCGCACAAGTCACTTTTATGTGGTCTATCAACGGTGAAAGCCATGTCAAGAAGTGCCTAAAAAGCTCATTCAGGAGATTCACTAATCGATAAGTCATCGCTAAGTTATCGTTTGATAATCAGTTGCTTCTGCTGAATGTGGCCATAGATTTTCATTTTTACAATAAATTATACTTTTTAACCGACTTCAAAAAAGGAGGAGGTTCTCAATTCATCGCGATATTTTTTTATGTATGTTCAGCGATAATTTTTTAACACGGTGTCCGATTTCAATGATTCTTTTTTTGTTAGAAAGAGGGTACAAGGGTGGTTCCATATAAATTTGGTCAAAATCTAATAATTGGGTCCATGGGAAAATCCTCAAACTCTTCATTTTTTATGTATGTTTAGCGATAATGCTTTACCACCTTGTCCGATTTATATGATTCTTTTTTTGTTAGTAAGGGGATACCTCAGGGGTGGTCCTATATAAATTTGGTTAAGATGTGCTGATGGCATCTGCACGTTTTCGAAGTCGGTTTTTTTAAATTTTTAATTTCTAATACTTGTATAAATGCATCTTCATCTAAAATTAATTTATTTATCGATGGGATAAACGCATTTTAAAGATCCCATAATTATGTATGAAAATGAGACGTTACATCACATTCTCTTTGATTGTCCAATTTACACAACTGAGACCAAAACATAGGTGTTCTTCTTGTAGGCTTGAGAAGAGAAAAAATCATTTTTGGGTACTATGCTTATTTAAAGAAAACATCGGTATATTTAGAACTGCTTTATTTTTTAACTTTTTTTTAACAATTACCTAAAAATCTAATTACCAAACGTTTTTAACCTGTTGTGTTTGTTGGAGCTGGAAAGGGTATGTTCGGTCTGTTCGGTCTGTTCGGCATGTTCCCTAAAAAAAATATTTTTAAGTGTGACATCTTAACCATAGGTTGCAAGAACATTCCTTCAAATTTTTGAGTCTGACAAACTACTCAAATAGTTTTTCTATACCCACGTAGATATTAGCTTATGTAAGCACAGACTACAAAACGAAAAAGTATGCTATTGCGTTCAACTGAACGAATATACTTCGTAATCATTCTAGGTAGTGAGAACACTGCAAAAATTAAATCTACCAATCACAGTTCATATTTTTGTCACCCGACTACTATCATTTTTAAAATTTTAAATAAGTAACATTTTTGTCAAACTAAGTGTTAGTATACCAGAGTAGAAAGTCTAACAGGAACAAATTCTGTAACTTAATAAATAAAGGTTTGTCGCAAAATTCCTGAAACATATCAATTTTTATTTTCAATAGGGCATATTACAAATAGATTTGGGGGGTTGCAGACACCCTAACTTTTTTTTTAAATGGAAGGGTATGTTGAGTAATTTTTTATTTGAAAGCTTTTTCAATTACAAATACAGTTACTTTTTTTTGTTACTTTTTTATAAGCAATGTGTCGGAAAAAACTGAAATAAGGAAATTTACTGAAATTACTTTAAAGTATAGGCAGGTACATTTTACAATAAAAAACCTGCTCGAAGTTTTTTGGTCAATTTAAATTGAATGTGATTGATTTGTTTGCATTTGAACGTGTAAATTAAAAACGAAAAATAAGAAAATATGGGGATATGGGGACATAAGTCGAACACAGGCTAAAGTCGCTCGTTTGTTTACTGAAGTTTATCCAGAATTCCCTTTAATTAATCGAAGTACGATTAGCAATATTAAAACTCGATATCGAGAGTTGGGCCACGTAAAGAATGCTCCTCGACAAAAGCTTTTAAAAATCGACGAAGAAGCCCAGTTGAACATATTATTGGAAGTTGAAGAAAATCCTGTTAGGGACTCTAGCTAGCCAAATAGCTCGTGTTCATGGTGTCAGTCACACAAGCATTTTAAAAATTCTTATCGATGGTGGACAAATTGCTTTGGAATGGGTGCTGTTTTCTGATGAAGCTACGTTCACATTACATGGGCACGTCAATGGGCAGAACTGCCGTTATTGGGCTGACGAAAATTCCCGTTGGATGCGTGAATGCCATACCCAATGGCCTCAAAAAACAAACGTCTGGGCTGGAATTAATGGGGATCGCATAGTACGTCCTTTTTTTTCAATAGATACGTAATCGGAGAAATATACCTTACTATGCTCCAAGAAGAACTGATTCCTACTTTAGTGAATTTATTCCCCAATAATTTGGATCCCAACTTATTTGACCAACGGATGTGGTTTCAACAAGACGGGGCACCACCACATTTTGCTCAAAATGTACGGACTTATCTTAACAAAGAATTTCCAAATAGGTGGATTGGAAGAACGAGCCCAATTGAGTGGCCAGCAAGATCACCCGATCTTATGCCATTAGATTTTTTTATGGGGATATCTAAAGAGCAAACCTAACGACATCGCCGAGCTTCAACAAAGAATCAGGGACAAAATTGGGCTAGTAACGCGGGAAATGCTGGAAAATGTTCGGGATGCTATTTATAATCGATTAGAATATTGTCAGCCTTGTTGCACTTTGAACATTTATTGCATTAAAGTAGTTTCAGTAAATATTTCCTTATTTTATTTTTTTCTACACATTGCTTATAAAAAGTAATAGTATTTGTAATTGAAAAAGCTTTCAAATAAAAAATGTCTGCAACCTCCAGATAATTAAAAAGATAAACAAATCTCTTTATAATATGACCTATTGAAAATAAAAATTGACGTGTTTCAGGAATTTTGCGACAAACCTTTATTTATCAAGTTACAGAATTTGTTCCAGTTAGACTTTCCACTCTGTATTTTTTAGTTATTAAGATTATATATACATTAAAATGAGTTATTTTTGTGTAGAATCGATAAATAATAGCTTTTATGTTTTCATTATGTCTATAATTGAAGGCTTGAATTAAATAATGTGCTAAGTGCCAAAAAATTGGTTTTTCATTTAATACTTGTAAAATGTTCTAGGTTCCAGAACCAACAACATTATATGAAGCGGTAAGTTCCACGGCTATTAAAAAACTTAATAGCCGTAGCTAAATTCCACGGCTGTTATACTCATAAGTATAGTGTAGTGAGTCTTATTAAAAAATAGTTAAGAAATACGGCTGCAGTTTTAGTTTTAAGTGTGCATTATAAAGAAAAATCTAAAATAATTTAAATAATGAAAATGTTCTTCAAAGAAATTATTTGAATCATTTACTTAAGGAAATAAATAGATGAAAGTCATCCAATAACTCTTTCAGAATGGATGAAAGAATATTTAATATAAAGAAAAAAAAACAGAGATATCGGTTATAGAACCTAGAACTAAAGAACGCATTTAGAATTGTAAAGTTGAAATTAAAGAATCCATCCCCACAACACAAAGGTGAAATCGAACAAAAGAAAAATTGACGTAACTGAAAAGAAAAATGTGCCCAAGCCTGGGTTCGAACCTGGATTTCTTAATTTACTTCTCGATACGTTTACCAATTAGGCCATCCCAACACATTGCAACGACTGTTGCTGCATTAGTGGCTTCAGCGAGGATTGTAACAGCTGAGGGAGGGAAGAATCTCTGTACTGATTAGAGTTGTAATCTGATGTCCATCTTTGCCAATTCGATCGTCGCACTATGGGTAAATAATGGTAAAAAATCGGTCAGAAGTCGATTTCCGAAATTTGGCACTACAGCTCCCAAACTGATTTTTTTTTGTACCCGAACAACCGTACCGTAGATCCCGACCCCCTACCAACCTTAATTGTGCGTTGTTTCGCTTACAATCAGTTGCATACAATCATTGTGTAAATCGCATGTCGCTCTTTTCAACTTTACTAATTTTTCGTGTTTGTTTTGAAGTTATAGAAGTGAGTTTTTGTCAACTGCAGCAAAATTGATTTGGATTATGGAAAAAGAAAGTATGTACTCTGTTTTAAAGCATTAATATATCACTATTAATTTAATAGTTATTTGTCTAGAATTCAACAGAAAAATATGGAAAAAAGTATTTTTTTAAGGATAATTTTAATTATAAAGGCCTAAAAGTTTATGTGTCGTGTGTAGTCAGGCAAAGATTTATAAAAATATAGAAAGTATAAATAGTCTTTTAACACATACTGAATACAATCTCTCCACTTTTTTCACCATTTTGTTTTAATAATATTTTAGTTCATGCAGTCCTAAAAATATTTAACAATGAACTTATTTTAGGTTAAATGAAGTTTTTTTGTTACAGGGAAAGTTATGGAATTCATCAGGAGTGCTTAGTATGATGCAATCCTTTGTTGGTACTAATTACGATGAAAAAATGAAATTACTGGAGCAGCATTTAATAGAATCTACAAAGAATGATTTTAAGAAAAGATGGATAGCGTCTAACTATAATCATTCGCGTTTCACCAAAAATAATGAAAAATGGCTGGCGGAATGTTTATCTTTTCCTGTTTGGGCTCCCCACAAAAGATGACGAATACAGAAGGAATTTCAAGAATTAAGTGAATGCAGTAAACAACGAAAAACCATGGATTTACGAGGGCACATACCTGTGAAACAATTGGCTTTTGCTGCTAGTGTAAGTCAACGAGCAACTGGTAATACAGAAGCCTCAAACATAATCAAAGAAATTACTTCATCTCCTACAAGGGCAAAAAAATATCGTAAAGCAATAACTACTTCACATAAGCAACTTGGATTGATTAAGTACTATTCTCCTGAGGAAGCTTTATCTATTTTTGTTGAAGGTGGCTTCACAAAAAGGCAATGGGATATTATATACGGGTCCAACACAACTATTTACTCTAGTTACTTCAAAGCCGGAGAGGCTAGCCGCGAGCTTAGTGTGCATCCACTTACTCGCAACAGTTAAGCAGTTATCTCTCTGGTCACGTCGTGGATGGGTGACCGCTGGGAGGTTCCACCATGGGCCGTGTCACCATGCGCCGTGTCACCATGGGCCGTGTCACCATGGGATTCATCCGATTAGCGTTTAACCATCGACGACGTGGAATGAATGAGGGTGTGAATGGGAAAGTAGTAGGACCTTCAAATGGTGGTACAATAAGCCGCAGGCTGCAGTGCTGCCAGACTACAGACGGATTAGAGTGTAGCACGGGAGGTCTAAAGGGTGTAAAACTAAAACTACTCCAAAGTAAAAGAAGCAAAAAAGGCTTGTTATCCACTTGAAAGCACCACACGTGTAACTGAAACATGTGCAGAGTTTCAACTACAAGAGTTACTTGATCACACTACTTTACGCATATGCGAGTATTCCAAAGAAGTCATATCAACCTGTACATATAACAAAAAGCAAAGTATAAAACTTAGAGTAAAATGGGGATGTGATGGATCGCAGCAAACTCAATTCAAACAAAAATTTGAAAATATTACTGATAGTGATGCAAATATTTTTCAAAGTTCGCTGGTCGCTATTAGACTAATTGCTGGTGATCAAAAGAAAATAATATGGCAAAACCCCGTACCCTCCTCTGTAAGATTTTGTAGGCCTATTCGTATTCGATTCGCCCATGAAGATAAAGACGTTACAAATGAACAAATTAAATACATAGAAGAACAAACGAAAAATTTAGTTCCAACAATTTGCAATACAGGTATAAAAGTAAATTATACCTTATTGCCCACAATGGTGGATGGTAAAATTTGTAATGCTGCCACAAATACTGCTTCCACGATGAGATGTTACATATGTGGACTGACATCCAAAGATTTCAACAAACTGCAAGATACTACACAAGTTTGGTTTGTCTATTCTTCATACCAGAATACGGTTTTTTGAGGGTTTCTTGCATTTATCATACAAATTACCATTAAAAAAATGGCAAGCAAAAAGTGCAGAAGATAAAAAAGCAGTCAAGGACAAAAGGATTTCAAGGAGCGAATGGGTCTTCTTGTCGATATTTCCAAAGCTGGGTTCGGTAATACGAATTATGGGAATACATCTAGAAGGTTTTTTGAGAATCCTGAGATTGCTTCAGAGATAACAGAAATAAGTAAAGAATTGATAAAAAAAATTCAAAATAGTACTTGAAACGTTATCAAGTGGATTTTAAATTGACACGGAACAATTTGATAAGTACGGTTGTATGTTGACCTATACGGTTGACATCCTATGTCTCCAACTATCCACACAGTACTTATGCACGGTGCCGCTGTAATTTCCTATGCAATAGTACCTATAGGTTACCTGTCTGAACAAGCTGCGGAGACCAGAAATAAACATTTCCGTCAATATCGAATCAATTATGCACGGAAACGTTCTAGAGAGCTGTGGAACAAGGACATATTTAACAGGTTATTGATGACCTCCAATCTACTTCTCAGCAGCTGTAGAAGACGACCACAGAAGAGAACTCCCTTTTCAAAATAAACACTTAATCTTTTGGTGGCAGAACCTCTTAGTTCAACAAGTGAAGTAGAAATGAACCCTAGTGACTGTGGGAATAAATATGTTTTTAATGCGAATTATGTGAACCTACTTACTTAAAAAATATTAATATATTGCTTTTATTGCATTAAATGGTGTTTTTATTTAAATAAAGCCTGAAACTAATTTTGACCGACTTTTTGCCAATATTTACCCATAGTGCGTCGTAGCTATGTACATAATTGGGTGGCCTAATTAGTAAAGGTATCTAGAAGTAAATTAAGAGATGCAGGTCAAATCCCCGACTTGTACACATTTTTCTTCTTGGTTTTTTCAATTTTTAATTGGTGTTGTTTTCGCCTTGGGGTTTTGGGCATTGATTCCTTAATTTCGTAGGAAGATTAGGGGTTTTCATTTAAACATTTCTAGATGCCACTTTAAAATATTTGGCCACTGGATGACTACAAAACAAATAAGTACAACTGAACAACACTGCTAATCGAAACCAATATGACTGATATTATAATTTATCTTTGTTTTACAATCACATTTCTGATTACACATTGTCTTTTTTCTCGATAAACATAAAAGAAACGACCACCCTACACGGTACAGTTTCCACCATGACCTGCGACCTAGACAGTTAAAAATATTCAACTTGTTGAAAAATCATAGATCTGGCCGGAGAGGCCACATGTGAGAGATCGAGCACTTGACGTTGAGTTTTGTACTGAATCGATGTATAGTTTAAATCCCACAAAAATCATAGCGTGAAGGGCCTCTTTAAGTTGTCCATTGTCTTTATTAGACGGTTTCTGCCACCTAAAATTCTATTTTTAAGCTCTAAAAGGTCTACTAGGATCGAATTATGGAATTTATCGAAACCTGGAATTGAACAAGTCCTATTTCTCAAATGTTTTACCAGATTTTCATATTGTTTTACTAAAACTATTCTAGTGTTTTTTAATCAATTAAAATTATTAATTGTATTTTACTTAATTTTTATTCCACATTTGTTTTCAATAAGTATCTACATTTTTTTGTACCTGGATGGATGGATTTCGATTAATATATTATTTAGCTATGTTCAAATTTTTATATTTTGTAAGTAAAATGTTTGTCACTTACAACTCTTGTATTTTTATATTGCAGGCCTGATGATGGCCTTATTGAAATAAATGGTATTTGGGGTATTGATTTACAGTTTTTTTCTTACTTTATCTGTCACAGTAAATTTTAATGAACATTATTGCAATTGACTGTAGGAACACTGTTTTTTTTGTGTCATCGGCTTCAACTGCTAAAGTTATTTCGCCTCGTGTTCTGTGTAGGCCTTGTTACTGTTTCCCAGTGCCACTTTAGGAACATCACTGTTAATTAGAACCCAACAGTGAATGGTCGAGTGGGGAATCCTACCAAGGCATCAGAACACTATTAATTTTATTTTTAGTTCTTTTGATGTAAAACAGATAAAAATATAAAGTGTGAGATAAGTTGGTTTTTAAAAGTAGTTTATAAACCAAAAAACGCTTGAAAACTGCCTTACCGCCATTGCAGTTTGCTGTATGTTGGTGACCATTAATGCCAGCAATCTTGGGAGCTGAAGATGGAATTGGAGTACCAGCAACTATGTGTTGACCATTTGGTAAGCTGTTACACACCAACTGAAAAGATATTCTTTTAATATAGATGTATAGGGCAAAATCTAGGCTTTACACCAAGATCTTTTACAATACATTATTTATTTTCCATTCATTTAAATAAATTAGCTTAAATACAGGGTGACAATTTAAATTTACAATCACTATATCCCAAGAACTAAAGTGGATATCACAAAATGCTAAAGAAAAATTCCCGATATAAATTAAGCATTAATAGTGTAACCCAATATAGTCGTCCAAATAATACTCTAAATAGATGTGGGTTTACATCACTCCAATAATATAGAGGCAGTTTTGTTTGTTCGCATTTCCATTTAAATAAAAAGAACATTCATATCAGTAGAACAGATATTTTTGATCAATTATAGTTCAATATTTAATTTATTTGGTATCTAATTCATTATCGTTAAGTTCTTGCAAAAATTTCGTTTAAAGGAATTAAATTTTATACATTTTTAATTCCTTCTGAACCGTTTCCCGTGATAATCCTATTGCCGCAGATACTTGCCGAGTCGATGAAGTTATATTCATTGAAAACTGTCCAAGAACTATAATTTTAGTTGCCTCGCTAAGTAACCTGGGGGTATTTCGTTTTTTATTTGCAATTTAATCAGTTAATTTTGGTTAAAAACTGCAGATAAAAACTCCAGATGATTCTTGGAACTAAATAGGATGAAGATCATTTCTAAATGTCAAAATAGAGTGTAAACCATTATTGCAAAATAGGATTAAGATAATTTCTACATGTTCAGCTAGAGTGTAAACCATTATTTTAAAATATTTAAAGACCTACTTAAATATTGCAAAAGTGTATTTAAGAACTGACAAGATTTTCACAACTCTTAATATTAGACCAGGTCACATAAGTATATATCACATAACCAAACGTTACCCCTTCAACACTCCATTTGAGGTTTTAATACCAAACTATAAGGAAATCCAGTGCCCACCGATAACAACAAAGTTGGTACACAGACGGATCAAAGATTGCCGAAGACATTGGGGCTGGAGTATTCTCCGAAAAGCCACGTCAACCTTAGTTATACAATAGGAAGACATGCTTCAACCTTTCAAGCTGAGGTTTTTGAAATCTTGCAATGTGCAAGAACAAACAATAGGAGAGCTATAAAAAATAAGCAGATCCAAATAATATCAGACGTCTAGGCCGGAATAACTGAGAACATTGGCAGACTGAAAAAGAGTAAAACTAGTTTCAAATCAAAGGATCGAGGGCAATGAAAAGGCTAACGCCACCCTACACGGTACAGTTTCAAAAAGAGGACCAGAAGAAATAAAAGACTGAGTTCAGAGAAAACAATAATTACTGGGAGTATGTCCCAAAACTAGCACGCAGAAAAACCTTTATAGGAAGAACATGTTCAAAAAGACCAGGACAACTACTCTCTATAAACAGAAACCAATTGC